TGTGCCCTTCTCCTTAGCTGTCAGCCACGATCAAGATGTGTCACGCTCCTTCAAAGGGGGTAAACAAATAATGCGTGTGTGTGCGCGTGCGCGCGCGCGCATGTGTGTGTGTGCGTGTGTGTGTGTGCGCACACGTGCGTGTGTGTGCATGTAAAACAGTCGGATGTGGATGTGGGAGAAGAGTTGAAGATGAGACACAGGCACTGTGAGGCGATCCAAGTGGCAGGTTTCTGAGTGCGTGTGTGTGCATGTGAAACACAGTCGGATGTGGATGTGGAGAAGAGTTGAAGATGAGACACAGGCGCTGTGAGGCGATCCAAGTGGCAGGTTTCTGAGTGGCTGACTCCGTTTTTCTGCTTCTGAATACCTTAGTTTTCCATGACTCACATGGTCACTCTCACAGTGTCTACAGCCTGCTGAGGAACAGCCCGTGAGCCTTTCGCACCAAAAGCACTGCTCTCAAGCATGGGCGGGGTGAACCTCCAGCGTGACTGGCTGCCTCCGACTTCAGGGCACCAGGCCGGAAGGAACACCGCCAGCGCGAAATGCAGCCGGGGCCAGAGAGAACCAGAAACACGAAGGAAGGAGCTTCCTCCGATGCTGAGCCCAGCTCAAGTCATTCCCAGGAACTTATCTGAAGACATTAAGGTGATTTCTTCTACCTGTACCTCCTCAAACTCTTGACAAAATGGCCCCACGGCCACGTCACCCGCCAGAGCTTCCATCGTGGTTTCCACCAGAAGAGAAAACGCACAAGTTCTTACGTGTGTCGCCGGCAGGACTGGGGGCTGCGTCCCCGAAGAGGACCTCTATGAGCGAGAACGCGGGGCCGGTGTGGTACTTCTTCAGGGCGATCAGGGCTCTGCCGGGGAGAAAACCCAAGAGAGGGCTCAGGGAGAACCAGCGTGAAGTCAGGGAGGAGCCCACACCCCCCCACCTGCAGCCCCAGCTCCGGGGACGGCGCACGGACAAGCCCGGCCCGAACCCACTGCTCTCGCCCCGCCCAAGCGTGGTCGGCTGGGCGAGCCGTGTTTAAGGAAAACGTTACATGTGTGGTCCAGGCACATGCTCACTTCTTCAGGCGCTTGTAAGTGACGTCATTGGCAAGTTTTAACAGTCGGTAGGAATTCTGTTGGTCGAAGCTCAACTGGGAATCACAGGACTGGTCAAAGGCCACCGTGACCGATTTCTGGGTGATCCGGGTCAGCACCCCAGTGGCCAGCTGGCCTCCTTCGTCATTCAGACCCACAACATCACCTGCGAAACAAAGACTCAGCGATGTAAACATCGGGCAAGGTTAAATGTGGACTATTTTATTCCCTAAGTCCCAGTATATTTCAAACATCCTGTGACTTTCTTTAAAAAATAAACCGTTAACATCTAAATCACACACGTGAGGTCAATGAACTGTTTAAAACAGACAGGACCGACCGTCCATAAGACATGTCAAGGGCCCGTTCTGCGCCAGGCACTGCTCTGGGCGCTGCTCTGGTCAGGAGTCAAGCCCGCCCCAGCGCGCCCTCACGGGGAGGGACCAATACAGCCTCCTGTCAGGCCAGTGCCGGGGCCTGAGGAAACAGGAAGCTCAGGGAAGGGACGGGGGGACGAGGGCGCCGTCCTAGCAAGGCTGTGAGGGAAGGGCCTCCGAGTGGTGAGTGGTGACAGGTGGGGGCCCTGGATGAAGTGGGGCCACGAGCGCCTCTGGGGGGGAGGACCAATGAAAGGGGGACAGTGTGTATCTGCTGCCCACCCCGCCGGGATCTCCCCACATCCTGTGAAACTGTTCGGTGATTCAGCACCTGGGGATGCAGAGTGTGACCCGCGCCTGAGCCAATCAGGGCTTCACACGCCCCGGCCATCTGACTGTTCAGGGATGGGCATGGGACCCAATCAGAGCCAGAGACACAGCGAGCCTTTGTGTGGGCACGGGGACCGAGGTCCTCCCTCTCTCCAGCTAGACCAGGACCCTCAGAGGGCGTAGGGCCAGCACGGCCCCCGCGTGGCGCCTGAGAAGGAAGCCGACCCAGAAGAGAGCAAAGCGAAGAAACGGAGGGAGGCTCGGCCCGGCGATCTCCTTGGAGCCCTGGCGCCCACCCTGCCGGGGTCCTCAGCGCAGGCCTTCCTGCCCAAGCCCGTCTGGCGTGGGTTCTGTCACTGACCACAGTTCTGACCGAAACAGAATCCACTCTGAGATAAAGCCAGGGCCACCCGCACATTTACACCCTACTTATCCATGTCGGCAAGAGCGTGCCAGGCATGAGCCAGGCCTGTTCTCGGTCCTAGGGGTTCATCTTGTAAGCGAAGAGTTTCGTCTGCACCTTGAATCTTTTCTCTGCCTCCTTCCCCAACTTTTAAAGAGAAACATCAGGTGGCAACAGTACCCCTGGGGCAGAGGTCAAGTTCTGTACATGGGGCTCGCCATGGGGAGCTCCCCCGGGGACTGCCCCACGAGTGCCCTGAATAGGAGCCCATGTTTTCAAATGCATCTCTAAGCTACTGAGCCTCAAAACCGCTCCTCAGAAGAAACAGCTCCACCTGACTGTCCATGGCTGCGGCAACACACCAAATTCTCAGCAGGCCACTTTTCAACAGAAATGCCACCTCCTCTGGCTTCCTGTTAGTCGAGGACCCATCGGTCTCTGAGGCTGTAACTCCACAGCGCTCATTAGCTGAACACACATTTCAACCTTTGTGTTTTCAGAGTTTCCAAGCCACCTGCACAGACAGGTCCTGCTCAATTACTCCTGAAAGACATTTAGCAATCCCCTTCGCCCTGGTCATGGCAGCCCATGGCAACTGGCCACATGAAAACACACGCTGGCCTCAGGGCCTGACTCTCCCCGTGTGATGCCGGGCAGGTCGCTTAACCTCTCCCTCTCGGCCTCCGTACACAAAACGCCCAGTGTGAGGCTGGTCACACTCAGTTATGCGCCCACGTCAGAAACGCACAGACCGGAGGAAAAGCTGTTACTGGGAAGCACTCCTGCAGACGCGCATCTCGGGGGCTCGAAGGTGACCAGCAGCTGCCCGTACAGCCCGGTCCGCTGGCTGGACACCTGCAGCTTCAGCAGACAGACCCCACGGCGCTGGAGTTCCTTCAGCGAGACGTTTTCCTGCCAGGACCTGGAAGACACCAGGGTAGACGTTAACCTTTGCACTCACCGGTGTTCATTTCCACCCGTGCAGGAGAAACGGAAAGGCGGGGGGCGGGGGGTAAAGAGCTGGCACAGGCGCCGAACACGAGCCAGTGCATTCTGGCTCTGCCCCTCTCAACCTGCCCCTCCTGGCGCCCTGCGGGCAGTTCATGACGCGGCCTTTCTCCCAGTCACCCGGGTCAGAACCTCCAGCCATCTTCCCCTTCTCGACTCTCTCCCCCATGCTGGTTCAAGTCACCGAGTCCTATGGGGCCCTTCCTATATACAACCTGGACCCACCTCTCCCTCTCCCTCTCCCCTCCAGAGCCCTGACTCAGATTCAAGCCCACATCCCTGGCAGCCTGGATTAAACAGGGCTTCCTGGCCCTGGCCGGTTTGGCTCAGTGGGGAGAACATCAGCCCACAGACTGAAGGGTTCTGGGTTCGATTCCGTCAAGGGCAGGTACCTGGGTTGCAGGCTCCACCCCAGATCCGGTCAAGTGCAAGCAGGAGACAACCAATCAATGTGTCTCTCACATCGATGTTTCTCTCTGTCTCTCCCCCTCCTTCCACTCTCTAAAAAACAGCAACAAAAAAACAAAACAAAAAAGCTCTCAGCACCCAAGTGATCCTCCTAAAATGCAAATCTATTCACCCCACCCCAATCCACTTAACTTCAATGAACGCCATCCTCTGCGCCAGGATATCATACAAGCTCCTCGGCAAGGCCCTTCTCAACCTGAAGCCCATTTACCTTCCCACAGGTGCTTACTCTGCACTTGGGACCATGCTGAGCACTTGACTTTTAATGAAATCATTTCATTCTCTCCGCAAACCTGAGAGGTGGGGATGATCCCATTTTACAGAAAAGCTAATGAAGGCTCAGAGATACAGCCCGCAAAGCGACACAGCCATACATGAAGGAGCTGGGATTCTCCCAAAGCTCTTAACTGTTGTGGTCAAAACCTCTCAAGCAAACCCCATCCAGGTATATACTGCAGCATGGGGTGTAAGCTCTGGGATCAGGTCCTCACTCCGCCTGCGTGACGGTGGGCAGGTTCCTTAACCGCTCCCCTCAGCTCCTCCGACATGAGAATAACAGTAACGGGCTTCGTAGGCTTGGCCTGAGGGTTGGAGGAGCTGGCGGAGGGAGGAGGGGTTTACAGCCTCCATCAGTGCGCGCCTATTCCTGTGCAGACTCAGGCCGGCTCTCCCGGTCCGGCTCCCCCGGCGGGTCACCTGCGCCCCCACTTCCCTGACTCTGTGCTCAGGCCCCGCCTCCTCCCTGAAGCACCCCTCGCGCCCGCCCCGGGTCGGGGTTTATCGCCCAGCTCCGCGCACCGGCGTCCGCATCGGCACTTGTCACGCTGGAAGGGGGCTGCTTAGGCTTCTGCCCACCTCCGGCGCTCACACCCAGGCGCCCAGTGCCAACCGCTCTCCTGATGGGCCGGGCACTAACAGGTGCCAACCCTGACAGCGCGGACGGATGGGGGCAGGCGCTGGGGGTGGAACTGGGCAGAGGCAGGATCTCAGAATGAGCGTTCGGGGAGGGGGACTTCGGACCGAAAAACGAAAGGGTCCATAACCAGAACGGGCCGCCCAGGGAGGCGACGAGGTTTCCACCTCTGGGGGAGACCGGGCCCCGGAGGGTCCGCCTGGGTCTGAGCAGGTCACGGCTGGGGAGCTGCCAGGCCGGCCCCGGGAGGAGGGCCGTCGGGCGGCTAGTGTCCGCGTGTGGCCGTAGCATCCTCAGACCGTCGGGGCCCGGAGCGGGTGAGGCCAGGGCCGCGGGTGAAGGGAGGAAGTGGGGCAACGGTGCTTCCCGCCACCCTGCCGTGTGTGTGTGTGTGTGTGTGTGTGTGTGTGTGTGTGTCCGACCTGATGCCTTCGGTGCTGAGCGCCTTTTTTGGTAACACCGGCTTCCGGCTTTGGAGTCGGGGAAACCGGGGTTCAGATCCTGGTTCTTTAGTTAGTAGCTTAACCATTGGGGATCGCTCTTCCACTCCTGTATGGGCCTATGTTAGTGGGAGCACAGTGAGGGGCAGAGAGGTTAGGCAGCTGCCCAAGGTCACTCGGCAGGGAAGTGGGGGAGGAGCGATTCGGGCGGCGCGCTCCCGCTGCAAAACCCGTGCTTTGCCATTACCCTGGGCTGTGAGCCACTCTCTGAGCATCATCGACCTCATCTGGGAAAACGGTGATGAATGCCCTTGCCTAATCTTAACCCATTCAGCAAAAACTAGCGGTATGTTAGTCACTGGGTTATGAAGCCCCAAAAAGGTTCTATTCGGCCTGAAAATGGTTGGAGTGTGTGTTTGCATGCAGGAGTGCTTATGTATGTTTCTAAATTGACCTAAATGTATATATGACAATTTTAGAGAATTTCGCCTTTTTTAGATGCCATAATAGTGTCGTGGTTATGTTGTTTTATTTCTTAAATAATCATCTTTTGCATGTCGACTTGTCTTTGGTGTGTCGACATAAGAAATGTCCAAACCTGTAGAGAATTTTCATTATAAGTTTACTAGAGGCCCAGTGCATGAGAGTCGTGCACTGGGGGCAGCGGGGGGAAGGGGAGGTCCTTCAGCCCAGCCTGCACCCTCTGGCAGCCCGGGACCTCTTGCTCCTTACCGCCTGCCTGCAGCTGCTGTGCCCAGCAGTGAGCCCCACTTCTGGCTGAGCATTGCTCCCCTTGTGGGAGTGCACTGACCACCAGGGGGCAGCTCCTGCTCTGAGCATCTGCCCCCTGGTGGTCAGTGCACGTCATAGCAACCAGTTGTTCCACCATTGGGTCGATTTGCATATTAGGGTTTTATTATATAGGATTTGAGCCAAAAATGACAATTGCCGGCAGCAAGATCGCAAGTACTCTGAAGAATAACAGTTTTGCAGTTTCTTTTATGCATTTTGACTTAAGGAGGAAAGGAACGTAACGGTGGGAGAAGGCAAGGCAGGAAGTGGGTTATGAGATTATGTGCTTTCTTGAGGGTGGTTATGCCTTCGAGGAGTATTACTTCTGGCTTTCAACGTGTGTGACCTAGAAGAACAGAAACAATGGGCAGGCCTTGCTTAAAGCCTTTCCCTAAGGAAGTGATAGGCCTGGGCTGTCATGGTGTGCTACCCACCATAACCGGGCCAGTTAGGAATTTATGATTTACTATAGCACCCCTTTTTCATCCATACATAGAACTATGACATCTCTACAGATAAAATGATGTCTGATTTGCTTTAAACTAATTGCAGAATTGGGCAAGAGGCCATGTACATCGAGCAAGATTAGTCATGAGTTGATATCTGTTGACTCTGGGGAGGGGTAGCTGAGGGCTCAGTGTTGTGCACAACATTTTCCATAATAAAAGGTGGGTTGAAGTAGGCAGGGAAGTGTTTACACAAGCAGTGGGACTTCCTCTATTCTGCTGATGTAAAACCACCGCTAGAATGCTGTGTTAAATTCCAGACTCAGCTTTTTAAGGGAGAATCACGAAGTGTAGTGAGTACAGAGAAGGTGACCGAAACGGTGAGCAGGTGGGACCGTGAAGAGTGAGCGAAGAAAACAGAAAGGAAGGACCAGTCTCAGTCCTCAGAGCCATAAAGGGCGGTTCTGTGGAAGACAAGGGACCACTTTTTCCCGGGGTGGGGGGTCCCAGGCTAAGCTAAGACCATAGGCAGAGGTACAGAAACCTTCTCTCTGAGCTGAGAACGGTGGGGTGGCTCCCAAGAGAGGTGCTGAATTTCCAGTCACAGAATTACAACAGGGGCTTCATTTTACTGATTGATTGATTTCAGAGAGGAAGGGAGAGGGAGAAAGGGGTAGAAACATCAATGATGAGAGAGAACCATCGGTCGGTCGCCTCCTGCACGCCCCACACTGGGGATTGAGCCCACAACCAGGGCATGTGCCCTGACTGGGAATGGAACCATGGCCTCCTGGTTCATAGGTCGACACTCAACCACTGAGCCACACCAGCCGGGCCAGGGGCTTCATTTGATGACTGGGCAGAGCAGATTTCATTCATCCTTGAGAAACTGTTACGTGTCAAACATTGGTCCCGGGTGGGGATACACCCATAATAAACAGACGACAGCCCTGCTTCTAAGGGGGCTAGCAGTGTTCTGTGAGCGGGGTGTGCAGACGGGCTTTTTAAATAAGCAAATGGCAGAGTGTGTTACAAGCTGGTGAGTCTTGGGAGGGAGGGGTTCCGTGTGAACAGGAAGGTTGGGAAAGGCCTCTCCACGGAGGTGGCGTTTCAGTGGAGACCCAGAAGAAATGAGGGAATTAGCCTTGTAGGTCCCTGAGCGGGGAGGGGTTCGGGGAAAGAGCAGTCAACACACAGGCCTCTAGGCGGGTGCGTGCCTGGTGTGGTCCAGGAAGAGCAGGGAGGCCAGGGAGGCAGGTGCCCAGGAAACAAGGGGAAGCGTGTTGAGATGGGATGGCACTGCCGGCCCTGCCGGCCCCGGTAAGGGCTTTTGCCTTTTCTCTGAATGAAACGGAAGCTCTTGGGGAGTCTCCGCAAAACACTGGGGTGCCCTGGCCGGGGGCTCAGCTGTTCCAGCACCTCAGTCTCATGCCATAGGTCACGGACACCAGCTCCATATGGGGGACAATGGGGTGAGGATACCCGGAATACCCGGAGGCCGACTCAGCAGGGCCGTCCTGAGGCTCCCGCTCCTGGCGCAGAACAGGGTCTGAACCCACCGGGCACTTGGGGGGCAGGCGCAGTTAATGGGCAGGTGGTGTGATGAATGGATCGCGATGCTTATGGTAATAACTAGTGACTGCACGTGATGTTCTCGGAGCTTTGTCGACCTCAGTTTTCTGTAGACAAGTTGTGATGCGGTTTAAGGCGATACCAGCGACAGCTGTGCGTGTATTGTCTTCAAGGGAGGTTTGCATTTCACGGGAGTAACTGCCCCTGTTTCGCTTACTCCCCAGCCTCCCTGTGGTCGGCTTCTCGAAGGTTCCAGTCGCAGGGCACCGTGCGTCCACAAGGGTAATGTCGACAAGGGTTTGGGTGACTCTTCCTTTCACCATCTTTCTGACACAAAACTTCAGACGGTTGGGTTTTTAGGAATATTTCTATTTTCTAACTTTTTTGACAGTATTTTCTCAGACCCTTGACATAAATAAATATAGACAGGACGTCAAGAGTCCACAGAGCAAGGTGCCCTAGGCCTTCCATCGTGCTAGTTACCAAGGGGAAGCAGTAGCTCCCGCTGGGAGGTTTTAACCGGGAAGGTTGCACCCAGGCATGTTGGGTCAGCACCTCTGGGAGGAACCTGTGGAATTTGAAACAGCAAATTCCGTGTTAAATGTCATACTTAGGGAAGAAACTGCACTGTAAACTACAGAAGGTAGATTTGGCGAAGTCCCCTGGCTGGTGGGTGTACACAGACAAGAGCAGGACAGGGTGGCGGGTACACGTGGGAAGCCCCCGGCCTGCCTGGCCCTGCGTCCGGGACTCTGCAGCCTGGGCTGGAGCGAGGCCGTCCGTCTGTTATGTGCCTCCTGGTCCGCAGAGTGGATTGTGCGTGTGTAGCTCAGTGGAGTTTTATGAGACTAAGTAAATCCTATATTTAAAGGGAGTGGACAGTGCCTGGTGTACAGTAGAGCACTCACACATCTTGGCCGCCGCCGCACCAGTCTCCGCAGGGGAGGCTCAGCGGGCTGTCCTGGAGGTGCCGGCCCTGGGCACAGAGCAGGGGCTGAACCTACAGGCACTTGGTGCTGGGGCTTGAGGCCGAGCCAGGGCCTTCATTTCACCGAGCAGAGAAGCTTTCATTCATCTTTCACGAGTGCCTGTTACGGGGCAAACACTGGTCCAGGGTGGGGATACACCCATAATGAACGGACGACAGTGTATACCCCTGCTTATGAGGAGCTAGCTGGCATCCCGGTGGAGAGGGCGTGCAGGCGTGACCAGCAGTGGCACACAGCCATGTCTTACGATTTTGACCTGCCTTTTCACACATGTGACGTGTGTATAAAATGTTTTTCACAGATACGTTCCTAAGACATCCCTGAGTTCACCCCCTTGGCCTGAAGTCGTTCTGCCAGACCCCGCCGAGGAGACCAGACACCACGCAGGTAAGGAAGGGGCAGAGGCGGGCAGCACCCTCCCACAGGCGGTCACCTGGCCGTGGAGCCGGATGTTGGTTCTCCGTGCACCAGACCCGCACAGGGAGCCTGTGCCTCACTGGCCACCGAGCAGCGGAGTCGAGAGCCGCTCACTCAGCAGAGACCCCTGCGCACCTGCCGTGTTCGAAGCGGTGGCGTTGGGGAGGGAAGGCGCTTGCCCATCTGTCTTCCCGCTGTTGGGAGAAACGTGAGTTTGGGACAAGTTTCTCCCCACATGGAAGAGAAGCTGCGCGACAGCCAGTGGCCGCCGGCCCCGGCCTGGCTGTTGGAGAAGCCGCCAGGGTGTCAGGGGCATGTCAACCTGGAGCGCCTGTCACCGCAGCCACCGCTGCCAGGAGGGCGTGTGGGATCCTCAATTTTCCAAAAAAGCTGGAGTCCACCTTAATGCATGGAGTCATTTAGTTGTGTTTTAAACATATTTTTATTGATTTCAGAGAGGAAGGGAGAGGGAGAGAGAGACAGAAACATCAATGATGAGAGAGAATCATTGATCAGCTGCCTCCTTCCCACCCCCTCACTGAGGATCCACCCTGCAGCCCAGGCATGTGCCCTTGACCGGAATCAAACCTGGGACCTTTCAGTCCACAGACTGATGCTCGGTCCACTGGGCCAAACCAGCCAGGGCTGGAATCCTCTAGTTCTCAGCACTGTTTTGGAGACTTAGAGAAAAGTAAGGCGCAGTCTGGGTCCCGGCCTCTGGGCCTCATTCAGCCTCCGGTGGGACTGTCTCCGGGGCGGGACCTGTGCGGGTTCCGTGCCTGCACCAGCCCGAGGCGAGGCCGGCGGGTCGGGGCTCAGCAGCCGCTGCTCAGACAGTAAATGGTCAGAGGACAGAGGGGCGTGACCTGAGCAGAGGCGGTGACCACGGAAGCGGGCAGCCGTGCAGGAGGCGTGCAGGGTGTCGTTCCGGGTTTCCCTTGTTTGCAGAAAGGCCTGCTCTCCCTTTCAGGGTTGGCACCCCTCCCGGCCCCAGCTCTTTGTTAATAACAATCGGGAACCAAACAGGGTGTAAGTTTCCACCCAGAGTCTGAGAACCGAGGCAGGCACGCTGTGCGCTCAGGCCAGAGAACGGCAGGAGGCAGGGCGTCCTGGGAAGGAGCATGGGGAGCTTCATCTCTCAGAGCCCGTGCGCCCTGCATGCCAAGCTGCTGTGCTCCTGGGATAGCAGGGGACCCCATGCCCAGGCGCCTGTGCCTGCAGTGGGGAGCGCGAGGCTCGGCCACCAGCTGTCACCCGCCTTGCGACCACACCACCGGGCGCCCCCTCCTCTGGCCCATCACACCGCTGCAGGAGCGCAGGGGCGGGTATATAATGAAGTCCCTGGGGCCCGTGTGGAGGCGCAGCTGCTGCCTTTCCCCTGTGGTGATGCCCGTGGCCTCTTCCCCGCAGAGGTCGTGCGGAAGGTGAATGAGCTGATCGCCACAGGCCGGTACGGCCGGCTCTTTGCCGTGGTGCACTTCGCCAGCCACCAGTGGAAGGTGACGGCCGAGGACCTGATTCTGATCGAAAATGAGCTAGACCTTGCGTGTGGAGAGAGGATCCGGTTGGAGAAGGTGAGACTCGGTTTCTTCGTGGATTCGGGGGCTCGGTCCTGGAGAGGGTTCCTCAGATCGGGGTGTCCACGAGCAAAACCAGCGGACGGGAGAGTAAGTGAGGAGGCGGCGGCCAGCCGGGCAGCGCAGGCGGGCCTCGGGAGGTGGCCGAGCTGTGACGGCCGGCTCGGGGTCACTCCTCAGCGGCGATGGTCAGCGGTGCCCATTGATTGTCTTGCTGGCTAACGTCCCACAGAAAAATACTCCACCGCAGGTGGATGCGAGGTGAAAGTCCCAGGTGCGCATGTAGAGCTTTCCAGCCATGTTTATAGTTCGGCTAGAACACTCCTCTGCCGTTCAGTTTGCGGCCTCTCTGCTTTGAAACCGCGAGGCCTGTTCCGAGGCCCTTTCTCTCACTGACCACTGGGAACTGCCTGCCCGGTCGGTGTACTTAGCTACGCTTTCCTGCCCTTCGTTACGATTCTCTTTGCTGTGGCCAAAATGTATTTGATTTTTGCCTGCTCTGTTCCTACTTATAAAACTACATATAGAACATGAGCACCCTGTACTAGATCAGCTTGCCAGGGTGTGTCCGTTACGCCAACATGATGGAATATGACACGTGGGATTTCCTGTATTGATGAAAACTCCTCCGTCCTTTGGGGTTGTCTGGTCTTTGCGTATTAACTCTTGCTGAGGCGGTCCGCAGCCTACGATCTGAGCGCCTGCTTAGCTGGAGTGGGACAGCAGCCACCGGCGAGCGCTCCTCCGCACGGCCTGGCGGCTCTGCCCTGAGCTCGTGCACAGGAGCACAGTGACTGTGTGTCTCGAGCAGGGGTGGGAACCTTTTCTCTGCCCGGGGCCATTTGCATATTTATAACATCATTCGAGGGCCATACAACATTATCAACTTTAAAAAAATTAGCCTCTCTACTTGGTCAAACATTTACTCACCCCTCACACCTTGGCAGGGCCAGGCCAAGTGATTTCTCGGGCTGTATAAGGCCCTCGGGCCGGACGTTCCCCGCCCCGGTCTAGAGTAATGACTTGGGGAGTGGTGTGAAGGTCTCTGAGAAGGCATTCTTTGGGAACATTTCCCATTAACAAAACATGATGGAAAGCCCCATTAATGCCAGTTGCTTTTTATCGTGTAGGCAATCCAGGAGTCGAGAGCATGTGCTGAAAGTGACTCTAAAACAGTTCGCTACTTGTCACTAATGTGCGTTGGCCACCGGTGTTAGAGATGTGCTTTGTCTTTAGACATTTAATTTTAGTACAGTTGGATTTTTTTCTCACAAGTAAAGTTTAAGACAGTCTTCCAACGTCCAATAAAAACGGCGCCACTGTCCCCTACCCAAGAGGGGGGCGGTGGCACGGGGTTCTGCTGCAGCAGGTACACCCGAGCCTGAGCCTTCACGTCTTCGCAGTCCTGTGACCAGCCTCGAAGACACGTTGTCTGATGTGTGTGTTTTTCCCTGTGTCTTAGACTTCACTAAGGTTTGTTGTTGTTGTTGTTAAATTAAAACACCGTCGTTTTCATAGAGGTTGACACAACTTGGTAAGTGATCGCCACATCAGATCATCAGTTTCTCCTGTCCTGCATCTGCGTCCCCTGCTGTTTACATTTGTTTAAACTAAAGCGACAGTGAGCTAGCAGGTCCCGCCCACAGCACAGTTTTCAAACCGTACCTTTCCCCGTCCCAGTGCGTGCCGGGCCCTCCCTGTTCTGGCCACGCTTGTTACTCACGGGTAACGCCCTGTTTCACATCGCAGGTCCTGCTGGTCGGCGCTGACGACTTCACGTTGCTGGGCAAGCCGCTCTTGGGGTAACGTGCTCTCAGATGTGGGGCTCTGCCCAGGGCCGGGTGGTGAGGCCGGGCGGGGGTGTCCATCACTCGAACCATCGCCAAACACGAGGCTTATACTTCATGATGGCAGATGCGAGGTGTCCCCGGGGGCAGCTCCCAGACCAGGTCTCTGGGCTGTTACTAACTCGCTCCCATGTGGCCCGTAAGACCTGCGGACAGACTGCCCTGTCTATTACGCTTCTCTGTAGTTTTCAAAATGTCTACAGGGGTCACATCACTTTTATGATCAGCAAAAAAGGAAAATAAACTTCATTTTCGAAAACCTTACGTAAAGCACTGCAACGTTGCCAGCTCACTGGGAAGGTCTGTCGTTGTTTCTTTCCAGGAAGGATCTTGTTCGCGTAGAAGCCACTGTCATTGAAAAGACAGAATCATGGCCAAAGATCAACATGAAGTTTAGGAAAAGGAAAAACTACAGGAAGAAGAGAAGTAAGTTACAGAAAGCGGAGCTGGCGCCCTGCGGTCCCACCTGCTCTGGGCGTCACCTCTGTGGGCCTGACAGGGAGGGGGACTGAGACACAGGCGGGGACCTCCCTGGACGTCACAGACCCCATGAAGCAGGGCTCCCCCAGCGGGGATCCTGCAGGCTGAGCCATCCTGTCTCAGGACATGCATGTCATGTACAGCCCTTGGTCACAGCGGGAATCCCTGCCTCGTGGAAAGGGGGGGTGTCGGGCCGGTCTCTGGTGGCTGGTGAACAAGGTCCGCGTTGTGGTCAGGCTGTGACCGAGTTCTCTCTCTCCCAGTTATTGTGAGCTCGCAGACTGTCCTCCGGATAAACACCATTGAGATTGCTCCAGGTCTGTGCTGATCGTCGAGCCGGCATTTGCAGAAAAAAAATAAACCCGTTTTCCAGGGAGTCTGTTTCGTGTTCGATGCCGAAGCTCTGTGCCCGTCACCGTCTGGCTTGCACACCAGGTCTGAGCACAGCCTCCCTGCGTCAGGAACTGGGGGAGAATCGCTGGCATGGCCGCCCCGGGCACCTGGTGCTGGTAAAACAAGCTGACGTGCTTGGCGCCCCCACCCCCCACCGCAGGCCTTGGGGAGGCGCCACTGGGACCCCGGAGCTGACACCAAGAGACACAACCCAGATCCCACTTCTGCGGAGACGGACAAAAACATGAGCAGATTCCGTCTCAGAATCGCGGGAGGAGGGAGGCGGGAGGAAGGACTGCCCCGTGGGGCCAGGGCTTGGGGCCAGTGCTGAGGAGCAGAGACAGCGGGACCAGGCTCGGCTTGAACTGGGTCCTGAAAGCCGCCTGTCCCAGGAGGGCTGGGTGGTCAGGCCGGCAGCCAACAGGAAAGAAGGGACAGGTCTTGAACCCTGGACCGGAGAGGCCCAGGGAATGGAGCGGAGGGCTGTGGGGAGTGAGTGTGGGGGGGAGGGGCTCTCAGACGCCCAGGCCCTGCCTGGCTCTGCTTCCTCCAAGACAATAGTTGGGGCTTTCAAGTGGCACAAACCAGAGCAAATCCTTTCTTGGCAAATCCTTCAAGAGTCCCTCTGTGACGTGGAAATGAGAAAAGGAAGACAGCACTGACCCAGGAGGCCTCTCCCCGCCTGCTTCTCTCTCCCTCTCCCGCACCCTCTTCAGGTACCAGTCACCCTGCCAGATGCTGGCCCAGGCAGGCCTTGGGACACTCCCTCCCCAGCAGTACCCTCCGTGGACAGCAGGGGGCGGCAGCCATGCTGTTTCCTGGCTGCAGATGCTGGGCTGGGAGGGGGATGGGCCCGACCTCAGAAGGTGGAGCGCCTGCTGGTGCTGCCAGGAGGGAGTCTGAGCCCCAGCTCCGGATGAGTGCCTCCCTCCGAACCCCTAATTCCACGCTGCCAGTGACGGCACGAGTCCCCAGAAGGGCTGGAGTGGCTCTTCCCGTGCGGTGCAGACCTCTGGGGGTCCCCGGAGGAGGGGCAGGCAGCCCGCCCAGTGGTGTCACGGAGGCTGATGGCCCAGGGGTTTGTGGGAGAGATGGAGTCACTGATGTCTCCCGGAACCACAGGAAAATGTGGCTCTGAAAGTGGACAGTGCAGATCACCGAGGGAGGGCACTTCCCTGCATCTTCACACCCGGGGCTGCAGACCTGGGGCCACCTCAGCTGGGTGTCGGGGGGTGGGGGGTTGAGCCTCCGTGGCTGGAGATGAGCCTGCGCACCTGGCGGCTGCGTGCCCTTTGACCCACTTTGTGCAGGTGCCTGGCAGCCGGGAGGACCTGCAGAGCCCGCTGCCTGGCCTCCTGTTGAGGGCCACCAGGCGACACACATGTCCCCCTCCGACCCGGCCAGCCATTCTGAGCCTGCATGTGCTGAGCGGAATCCCTACACCCAGGCTCCTACTGAACGTCCAGGGCTGGCAGAATCCATCAGGCGTCTCCAGGAATGGCCTCTGAGGGACAAAGGTCACTTCGTGGAGGGGTGGTTTTAAAGTACAATCACATTGCATGGGGCTGCCTTGGAGCCAGCGCATCAGAGAGGAAACAGTGAAAGGGAGACCTGCTGGGTTCGTGCCCGACGCTCCCGGTCCCGGGGACCTCGGGCCTGGGAAGGCCCAGGTACACTCATGGGCCAGGACAGTGACCAGGGTGACGCTTGCTGAGCGTGTCCCGTGTGCAGGGCTGGGCCAGGCCTGTCACACGTGCTGACTGGTCTAAGCCAGCCCTGAGACATAGATATGTGGGTGAAACGGGTTCTCTGGAGAGTAACCTCGGTGAGCTGATCGCAAATTCCTGGGCAGGGCATGGTGGGCAGCCACGCCCGGGCCTGCGCTGCTCCCGTGAAAGGTGAGCCAGCCCTGCCCATTGCTCCTGTGCACCCCGGGTAACACACCTCCGAGAGCCGGAAGGAACACCCCTCGGCAGGGCCACCCTTGGGGTCCAATCCCAGCTCAGTCTTCCTTCGGCCTCTCCCTAATCTCACAGGCAACACTGTCCTCTCCAGAGCACGGAGACCTGCGCCCAGATGCCATCAGATTGGCCCGGACGTCTCTTACGTCAGCAGGTACTTGGCTTTTCACACCTTTCACATGAGACGAACCACAGGGGGCCTATGGCCAGTCTCAGCCCCGGCTGCACCTCAGAATCGTCTGGAATATCCGTCAGGACAGACCTCACGATGCTGCCGTAACAAATAAACCCCTGCTTCTCGGGGGCTTTACACAGAACGGCTCTATTTCTTGCTCACGAGAAACCTGTGCAGATTGGACTGTTTCAATCCCAGAACATGTGGGGTGCCGGGCAGAGGAGCCAGTGTGTACACGGGAGCTTTTGAAAGTACCAAGGCCAGACCCAGCCAGACCCCAAATTCTGACTCACTGGGTCTGGGTGGTTCCCCGGGTGATTCTAATCCGGGTGGCCCGGGGTTGACAAGTTCAGGTGCAATCTCCTCCTAACCCAGGGCCAGGGGGCTTCTCGAGGCTGAAGGTTTGGACAGATAAGGAACTAGGGGGACTATCCAGACCCCTGCTTCGTCCCCATCAGAGCCTGTCCCTGCTGGTGAGGCCGAACCCTGAGGAAGTGCATGCCACGTGCCTCGGTTTCCTTATCTGTGAAGTGGGGACTCACGTGCCACTTTTTCCTGCCCTGGTGGCGGGGTCCATGTTGCCATCGTTGTCATCATGGTGGCTGCTAATTGTTAACAGCACACTGACATCTCTTTTTTTTTCCTCTTTGAGATTTTTTTTTTATTGATTTCAGAGAAGGGAGAGGGAGAGATAGAAACATCAATGATGAGAGAGAATCATTGATTGGCTGCCTCCTGCACACCCTCTGCTGGGGATCGAACCTGCAACTCAGGCATGTGCCCTTGGCGGAATTGAACCCGAGACCCTTGAGTCCACAGGCCGACGCTCTACCCACCTAGCCAAACTAGGGCAATGCTCACTGACATCTCTTGCCTTCCAGAACATTCTCCTTGCCCTAGCTGGCTTTGCAGTGGTTAGAGTCTCCACCCACAGACTGAAGGGTCGTGGGTTTGATTCTGGTCAAGAGCACATACCTCAGTTGGAGGCTCCATCCCTCGGCCCTGGTCGGGGTGCATGAGGGAGGCAACACATCAATGTTTCTCTCTGTGTGTCTCTCCCCTCCCTTCCACTCTCTCTCAAAAAAAAAAAAAAATCAATGGAAAAAAAAATCCTCAGGTGAGGATTAACAACAACAAAAATGTCTCTCCTCCCAGGATGCTCTGATGCATAGAAACCGAAACTCGTGACTTCCTCCCTTTTAACAGAAGATGCTGCTTAACTATCAAACCTGAACCTTGACATTAAAGTGGACGTCTCCTCTGAGAAGGAATGTTACCCTTGAGAAAACTTGCCAAATCCCCAAAAAGAGAACGTCTCCTGGAGGCCGGCCTGAGGCTGAATCTGGAGGCCTGGCTGCTTTGCCAGTCCCTCCTGCCCACACCTGCCTGGCCTGTGTGCACACACGCTGCCAGGCCGCGCTGAGCTCACTGTAGGAACGGAGCCGCTGAGGCCTGAAATTCCACCCGCAACCACCCCTCTGTGTGTCTGAATTGCACCCGAAGGTCCCAGGAGGCTTGGAGGACATCCTGGGCAGTGGGGCTATTTCAGTGACCCAGCGTTAAAGAGCTCACCATGCTCGCTCTGCCGGGCTGCGCGGGGTCCCAGGACAGGTGTCCCGGTCCGGAGCCCCAGCTCTGATAGGCAGGTCCGCCTCCTGAGCTGTGGCTTCCTCCTCAGCCAAACGGGGCAAAAGCACTATTGCTTCCTGGGGCACAGCCTCGGGCACAGCCTCGGGCAGTGGCCTCAGGCAGCAGCCTCCGCCTGAGGGAGGGCTCGGCGATCCTCCGCAGGCCTTCGCGGTGGCACCTAGACTCATGTGCCGCCCTGTTTTAAAGTGTAGGTTTTCTTGCCATGCAGGTGTCGTGAGGCCTACAGGTCAGCAGACAGCTGCCACTGAAATGATGGTTTGTTACTCAGTTCCTAGCGTGGGGCAGGGGCACACCAGGGCAGAGGGAGGCAGAGGGAGGCCGGGGCCTGTGGGCAGCGGCCTGGGCTGTGGTTTCCGGGGGAAGGAGCCGGTGAGGCAGGGTGAGCAGGTTTGGGCGTGGCTCGTTTAGATGATTCCAGGGGGCCCTGGGGCATAAGGGATGTCCCTGGTTGTCCATACCCTGCCTGGGTGCTTAGGGCAGGGGACAGTGTCCTGAGGGTGTGGCATGGGAGGTGGTCGGGTTTAGTGGCGGAGGCTTGGTCTGTGTTTGAACGCAGGCTCTCAGCAGGCTGTTTACCGTCTACAGAAATTAGCTAATGTGGGCAGGGCCGTCCCTCCACATCAGCAAGGCCCCGGATGCCAGAGACTCAGAAGACAGAAAGTACGAAGAGGGAGGTGCCCTCGGGCAGCTGGGCAGTGGGGAGAGACACTGCGTTTGTGTCCGAACCCAGATTCCCTCCTGGCCTGACCAGTGCTTGTTGCACAACAAAGCGGAACCTTCGGCGCCTCCCTCTCCCCACGCGCCCAGTGGAGTAAACTGCTCCCACACAGACTTGTTTGAAGCAAGTGTAACCGTGTGCATATAGGTGCCCCGCGCGTGGGGAAGCCCTGTCCTGGCCTTTCTCCTGAGGGCAGCCCCCAGCAGCCCCCACCACACACACACACACACACCCCACACTGTGAGGCTCACCGTCTCACTGGGACCCCTCATGGTGCCTCGAGGCCTGTGCTGCGGCCGCTGCAATGAATGGACAACCAGCGGGCAGGTTACTAGCATCAGAGGGTGTGGCAGAGGATAACCAGGAGGGGACCCCAGAGGGAGGGCCAAGTGACAGTGAGCCACTCGGGACGTAGAAGGCATGGAGTTCCCAGCGCTCCAGAGGCGGAAAGAGCCGGAATGTTCTGGGAGCGGTCCCTC